CAGCTGTTAATCTATCTGCACATTTTTTCTTGTTTTTTTTTTCCAAAGCCTCAAATAGTTGTCTAAATTAAATGATTTTAAATGTTAAAAGTGTTGTGTTATTTGTATTTGAAAACATTAGCATGTTCCCAGAGAATCAACTCTCTATATTTTTTTAAGTTTTTCCTCTTTATGGATCAAATGGCAATTGTTTCACCCCTTAAGATCAATTAATTTTTTTCACTGATGGAAAGCTACATGTTTCTTTCACGGAAAATTATTACGTCTAGTGAACCGCACGTCCGGACAACGGCGATGAGCGGGCCACGTTACCGTGCATTTCATGTGGCTAGATCGTTGCTGGTTTCTGGACGTGCCGAGACCGGGCGTAATAATTTATCGTTCTTCACACCCCAAGTGTGACGGCGCCTGTTACTTTATAAAATGCGGCATATGACCCATTTCTTATGTATTTTAACATCTAATACCAAAACTTTGCCTTTTGAATTTATACCACCCAAATCTTTTATATCCCGTCAAAAGTACCACTATTTTTTTTAAAATTTAAACCGCACCTTTTTCATGTATGGGAAAGTGGCATATATGTAAAAATGAAAGTTTAAATGTTAAACATGTAAATACATGAGAATTGAGTGGTATGCATGTAAATCTTCCTTGATAAAATTAACTCTACGCATTATGCTGTGAGATATTCTAAAGACCAATTATTCGTTTTCATGCAACAAAAGCTATATAGCAACCACATTTCCAGTTCACTGGATTGTCTTTCAGTTTGGACAATTCTGTATATTATTAGGAAAGTTGGAACATATTTCTGATTAAGGGGAAGCACAACTGAAACTCGTTTCCCTTTGTTACACTTGTCTTTGTTCTTTTTCCTTGTTTATTTGTTAAACTTTTTTTTCTTTCATTTATAATGCCAATTAGGCATGTCAACTCATAATCATTTTATGCTTTTACATCTCACCTACTTATATATATATATATATGTATGTATGTATATATGTATGTATGTATGTATGTATGTATGTATGTATGTATGTATGTATGTATGTATGTATGTATGTATGTATGTATGTATGTATGTATGTATGTATGTATGTATGTATGTATGTATGTATATATATATATATACATACATATATATATATATGTATGTATATATATGTATGTATGTATGTATAACGCTTTAGCTTTAATCCTAGGTGTATTTCAATTTTATTAGCGGCAACAATGTTTTTTTTTAATGTGATATTATAGATTTGAGTGCTCTGTGGGAGGCGTTATAGTTGATCCATTGCCTGTTCATCTTTAAGCAGCTTCATCATCTGCTCCATTTTTGTATCATATTTCATGTTGCTCCTTCGGCAACTTTGCTGCCAGCTCTGAGTTGGGGGCTTGTGACTCTACCCCGACTGCTCCATGGTTATGTTGCTCTGCTTCTCTAAAGCCATTGGTGTCATTCAGTCTACTTCAACCCTTGCCACATTGCTCATGACTCTGTTCCTTTAACAGCTCTAGATAAGATGATTTGCTGTGAAGATGTTAGAAAGTACAATTGACCCACACAATTCAAATAATTAAAAAAAAAAAAAAATTCCACGAAGATTGGCACTTTCAAGTTTGTTTCAACAAAATTTGTTAACAAAATAAATGGTAAAGAGTGAATCAAAATTGCTGGTTCTGTTTGGGATCATTTTTATTTGTTTTATATTTTTTTGTTTTGATTTAAATTAAATATATTTAATTCAAATAGTTTTTATTTTTAAATATTCAAAATGTTGTTCAAGTATTTTGATTTTTTTAAAAATAAAATATAAAATACATTAAAATTATATCAATCAAATATGTTTTCAAAATAGAATAAGTTAGAAGTGATCTGAATGAGCCTGTGGTCATTGATGTTACCATAAATGTAAATCTAAAGTATTGACATTGTAAGGGCATATGCTGGAAAATATGTAAAAATATCTAAGAATAACATGAAATTAAGGGTTTGAAGAACTAAAATTCTTGGCCAAAACATGCCTTAAAACAATATTATTGTGCATACCTATCCATGACATAAAGTTGGAGGGTTTAGTTATTTATCTTGAGGTACGGGCTCAAATTCCACATATTATCGTTTAGGCTCATCTTCCTCAAAATAAAAAAAAAGAATGCGTAAAAATAGCAATGCTATTGTAAAAGTTGTTTATGTTGCTATAATCGATTTGAGCTGCGCTATCAGTTGAATTTAGCTCGTTCACACTACAAATAGTTCATGTTCGGTTTGAGTTGGGGCTGAAATTCTAAATGTATGTTAATGCTAATTATTTAAATTTGGTAATAAGCAAGCTAACAATTTAAAAGAATATTTGAATTGAGATTTTAATCGATAGAAAAAATGAAATCTTCAAAAATTAATGCGCGTTAGAAGATTAGTAAAGGTAGAGTACTAAATTAACGTAACACTAAGAATAAAGAAAATAACCAGTAGTGTTATCAAAAATTTTTATGTGGAAAACTCGTAAAGGGAAAAAATCACAAGACCTGACCCAGCTAAATAGTTCTATTATAAAATGATGTTACACTTGCAACAACTTGTCTCACAGACTGGAAATGTTACTAAGTCTTCCAAATTACAACATGGTTGTGCGGATGTACTTGTTGCAAAAAAACAGGAAACAATCAAAGGTGCTCGGCGGCGGCCGATAAGTAGTGGTAGAAGTGATGCTAGATTTCAGTTTTTTTTCAAAGCTTAAAGTTCTTCCTTAGACCTCAAGCTCTCGCCTCCCCTTTTCATGCGAGAGTTAGGGCTCTATTTACAAAGTTCTGGATGCAATTAATACAAGAATGTAAATCACTTTGATTGAACTGTCCAATGAGTTTCATTTGATTTGACGTTGTTCGATGGACATTTGATTATCTTAATAATGTCGAAATTGAGCGATATTGGACTTGTTGGATTTGTCTTATCGAGAAGCTCGATTCCACTATAAGCCTGTCAGTTTCGACATTCATTCCTCACGTGTTTCATTTTTCAAACTCGTGATTTATGTCCGATGACCCATTTACTTTTTCCTCCCACTCAAGATTGTTCTCGCCGATCAATATTTTTTGGGCCGTTTAATTCTCAATGATCTGAACCATTTGATGTATGATAACATGGATAGTCACTTTTTTAGCTATGTATATATATCTGCATATGTACCATTTACTTACATGTGGTCTAAATATTACATTACATATTTTGGATGATTAAAATCTAAAAACCCCAAAAAAATAAAAGAAGATTTACATACATACATACCATAAAATTCTTATGCATCTATTTCAATTTTTATGTATATATCATTTTATGCATGGAAATTTAGGTGTTAGATGTGTAAGTAGGACTTTGTGGGGCATGTATGTAAATCTTGCCATCTAGTTTTGATGTAAATTCAAGCAGCAGAAATAGAGCAGAGAGGTATGTTTGCACATCTTTTATGCCCTGTGGTCAGATAATTTGTGGATTGGGTTTTAATGCAAAGGAAATATCTGTTAGCTGGATGTTATATTGATCATAAATAAGATTAACTTACACTAAACCTACTCAATCATCTTTTCTCACTAACTGAATTTTGCTCTAAGTTCTGCTTCTTTTATTTTTTAAGGAAATTACATGTAGAACCGCCAAACCTTGATATTTACAAATTAATCACCCATTTGATATTTACACGTCCCACTATTAAACTATTGAGAGTTTTATAAAAAAATAAAAATATGGGTTGGGTTTTACCATCAATTATGATATACACGTGCGGGCGTGTAGCATTAGTCGCCTGGGGATGATTTGAACTCCAGATCAGATGAGACTTACAAATACCAAAACATATGCCTATCAACTTATCTGGGAAAGCGATGCTCAAGTGTGTGTTGTATATATATATATATATATGCCCCGTACATACTACATCACTCAATTTCTATGTATTTACACACGTAACACCTAAATTTTATTTTTTAAATTTATACCATTCAATTTTTTATCACATCAAGAATGTCAGTATTCTAGTTTCAAAAAGTAAAATTATCAAGCATAAAAAATGTGGTATATAGTTTTAAAAAAATTAAAGTTGACGTTTTAGATATGTAAATACATAGGAATTGGGTGGTATGTATGTTAATCTTTTCAAAAAAAAGGAAAAAAAAAAGGCTATTTACTTTTTACAAAACCTATCACATATTCTTACAAATTACAAACATGAACATAAAAAATGAGGCAAAATAAGAAATAGTCAAAACATAAACAGCTCTGAATGTACAGGACAACAATCCAAAAAGCATGTTAGCTAAATTTTTGGAAAATTTGCATGCATATCACTTGATTATTATCTAACATTTAAACTTCAATTATTACATATACGCCACTTCACTCGTGCAACAAAATGTGTATTTCAAATTTTAAAAGTTAAAATAATAATATATTTTATGTGATATGTAATATTTGGGTTGTATAAATGTAAAAAAAAGTAAACTTCAATTTTTTGCATATTTTTCCTTTTAAATCATTTATGGAGTTAACAATCATATCACTACCATCCTCTGTTACCAAACATCAATTTTGTTAATAGAAACAAAGCAAAGCTGGCATTATTCAAAAGCGAAGTACCACCTCAAGCGCACAGATTATACCAAAACAACATCTACCAACTAGTCATTTTTAACTCTGATATGCTATTAAAAAATGCTCATATGAATAAGATAGAGGCATTTACATAAGTACCAACCAAATCTTATGTATTTAAGTAATTAACACCTATGCTTCCATTTTTACATTTATAACATTCAAATCTTTCATATCACATAAAAAAAACCATTATTTCGACTTTTAAAAAGTGAAATGCAGCTTCTTCATGCACAGGTAAGGTGACATGTGTAAAAAAAAGTAAAGTTTTGGCGTTCAATATGTAAATACATAAGAATTGAGTGGCCTGCATGTAAAATTTTTTTGCGAATAAAAGATATTTTTAGCAAATCATAAGAAATGGGAGAAAAAAATTCTAAAGAGTAAAACCCAAGCATCATCAGGGAGATGGAATGCTTGTACCTGACAATGTTTGCTAACATAGTAAGAAACCTTGATGTAAACGTCATATATTTGGTGCCAGACATAACCATATTACCTACCTTCCCTCCTCATCCCTCTCCACAAATAAATCCCACTCATCTAAGATCAATCCATGGATGCATTTGTATGAGAGAGAGAAAGAAAGAGGGCGAGAGAATGAAGGGCTTCTCCGCACGTTACCGTGTCATCGTCCTCCTCCTCTTCCTCTTCCACATCATAGATGAAGCTCGTGGACAAGCAGCATCAGGCCCAGCCGCTGCGCCAGCTCCAGGTCCACCACCTCCACTCAATGTTACAGCCGTGCTCGAAAAGGGTGGGCAGTTCAGAACTCTTATTCGTCTACTCCAGTCGACACAAATCGACAAAAGAATCGAAGGGCAGCTAAACAGCTCAAATGCCGGCATGACTCTCTTTGCACCTTCAGATAATGCCTTCTCCAGCCTATCTCCTGGCACACTCAATACTCTCACTAACCAGCAGCAGGTCACACTCCTTGAATATCATGTCATCCCTACACTCATCACACTCTCCCAGTTCCAGACAGTAAGCAACCCTATAAGCACCCAGGCCGGAGACAGCAGCCCCGGGCAGTACCCGCTGAATGTGACAACAGCCGGAAACCAGGTGAACATCTCCACCGGCCTCATTAACACTACGATATCTGGAACTGTGTACTCCGATAGCCAGCTCGCAGTTTACCAGGTCGACAAGGTGCTCCTACCTCTCGGTATATTCAGGCCATCGGTGCAGGCTCCGCCACCAAAAGCAGGGAAGAATGCTTCGGATACAAGCGAGGGGCCTTCAAATGATTCGAATGATTCCTCAGATGCTTCTTCCACCATTAGAAGACCTTGGAGATTAGGGATTCCATTTGCTGTTGCTGTGAGTATACTCTATTGTAGCTTCTGAATACTTGATGATCATCATTCTATGTTGTTAAAGATGCCATATGTTATTGACTTTCTGCATTTGAGAATGGAAAGTTTTGATTGATATTTGATGTTCCTGTTGTAAAAACACATGCATTGTAAACTATCTGGTTCTTTGATTTATTGATTTACATTTATCTCATGGTAGTGTGGACTTTATATTAGCTTATGAGAAAATCTTCCTTTGCTAGGAACATGGTTTAAATCAAGGCGGTGTTTAGTTGCAACTTTAATTTACGTTAAATAAGATTTATTAAATTCAATACACTTGGATTTATCAAATCCACACTGTAATGATTCTGCTCGGAATAAATCCGTCTTGCAGTCGAATTTATCAAATCCAAATTTACGTTGTATAGAAGATGAAACGTGCGCCACATCCAATTAATAGGATGCTAACAAACCACCTAAATGTGAGAAATATTTGTGTATGTTAACCAATTGAAAGTGTAAAAAAATAATTTTTTTCAACAGACACATAAAATCTTACAAATTCATATCATTTAGCTCTTTTAACTGAATTGTCCTTCTAAACATTAAAGCGCATTGTGATGGAATTTGAACCATATCAAAACTAATCTGCCCATTTTATTATAGGTTGATTTACATGCATTCCACTAAATTCCTATGTATTTCATAGCTAGCACAAACATTAATTTTTTACATATATGCCGCCTTACCCACGCATGATAAGGCATATTTCACTTTTTAAAAGATGAAATGATGGGTATTTTTTATGTGCTATGAAAAATTTGGGTGGTAAAAAAGCAAAATTTAGGTGTTAATAACATAAATACATAGGAATTTGGTGGTATGTATGTAAATGCCTCTGTACCATATCAGGACAGGAGCTTTTTTAACCAAAATATCAGGTTCAGTTGGTAAAGGCGCAAACCAGGCTTGAAGCAGGACAGAATAGCTTCTATGTAAGCATATAGATCGAATAATACATAAATGGGGCATTTACAAACATACCACGCGAAACTGTAGAAATTACGTATTTAACACCCAAAAATTAAATTTTACTTGCACACCACCCAAAAGCTTCTAACGCCCCAAATACACCATTCGGTGAACCCTCTATAATGCGAGCGAGCACCTCTCCCTAATACTCCGCCTCACCATATGAGCTCTTCCCTCGCTCCGTGCGAATAATGTGCAAAATGCAGCCATGGTGGAGGAAAACTAACCTGCAAGCTATGCCGACGACAATTCTCTGCCACGACAGCCAGTTCATCATTATCTTCATCATGTTCTGGCAGTGGAGAACGTCTTCCAAGCTTTCTTGTTTCATATACTTGTAAATCAGAAGCCTTTCTTCTCTGACTTCATAGCAGCCTAGAAGTGGGACGGAATTTTTCGTGGATTAAATTTTTCAATGGTTTCCATCTCAGAGGTGATTCATGGTCTCCTTGCCTGATGACCTCAATGAGTTTTTCATCAGCGACAAAGCTGTCATCTGTGAGCTGGCAGGGTAGACCTCACCGATGCCAACAAAGCCGATGAGGAAATTTTGCTGGAAACCATTGATGGCAGCTTTGTAGAGGTTTGTCAAATGTGGTAAGGCTAATGGTTAAAGCGATATTTTTAGCACAGTTTCTTCACTGATATGATTGCCTTCTTTCCTATGTCTCTGCATTCGCCTCTTCCTGTTCTCCACCAGAATGACAGAAACCCTAAAGCTACAGAACAGGTAACACAGAAGCCCTATTGTAATACTCCCTGCAATGGAAGCTCACCGACAGTGAGATTTTGGGTTTCTTCCGCCGGAATGGGAGCTGGGGTTTGCTTCGTAGGCTGAGAGAAGGAAGCCCCTTAAACCAGAATTATTCTCATATTGAAAAAGAGGGAAGGTGGAGCTGCCCGAGAGTATATTATTTCAGAGATCGATGTCCAACAGCATGGTAAACTGGAGAGCTACGATGGAATGGTGCCTTCCAATGTGTTATGGGAGAGATCAAGAACTCTTAGAAAGCGTAAGTTTCCTAATTGCAGCAGAATTGAGCTAGAAAGCTGGTTGTGGCTGAGATTCAGGATCCTGAGATAATTTAATTTGTCAATTTCCTTAGGAATTGGGCTGTCTACAGTCTACAGTCAGCGGTCACAGAAAACTGCTGTTTTCCCGCTTCCGGTTCTCTGTCCAGCCCCCGTTCACACCAAATTTCAACCGCCATCCATCTTCCCACTCCCGTACTTATTCTACAACTTCCCTAACGCCATTTAGTGTTCCATCATACTTTCTAGGAGCCCTAAAATGATGTCATTTGATATCAAAAAAGGCATATTTTTGCGAGATAAGCTTTGCACAACATCATAAGTTTAATGATAAAAAATAGAAATGCAAATTATCATTTAAGATTAAGCTAAGGAGAAAAATAAAATCGACCACCTAGAAGAATAATGAAAAGCAACTTGAGTTCTACAAATAAAGATTAACAAACTGTGCAAGGGTTCCATGTTATAAATAAGTATCAGTGTAAATTTTAAGCCATTGAAGAATATTAGCTTTCAACCATAAGATCCTATATCAGTTGTTTGAAGAGGGGTAAACACAAAAGTAATATCAAATTTTGAATTTTTTTTATTTTTTGAATTATACAGTGAAAAAAAAGTTAATGTGTTGGCAAAGACTTCAACTATGTACAATATGGAAGAAAATATCCTTGCAAACTTCATTATGGAATCATCTACAGGCTCACACAATGCCCATAAATGTATAGCAAAGTCGTCTTACATAAAAACAATCAAGCTTATCATACCAACAATGCTATATCTATATTTCAACAATCATACAAATGTTCACACAAACAATGATAGAAGTGGTAAAATCTAACATATTCACAAACTTCAACGTACTATGAGTGCGGTGCCCGACTCTTCTGAGGTTGGTTGAAGTGCACTAATTTTGATCTCATACTTCTTAGAGTTCCCGATAGAGCTTGAATCCGAGACATCCGGCCCCAAAGAAGATGAAGGCGAAGGTGAAAACTCCTCATATATATTGCCAACAAAGTTCCCACACTTGCGGCATTGCAACTTTGTCCTATGCCTGAAGAGCCCCCAAGAGCGCATTGAGTTGAAGTATGGAAGACAACTAAGCTCATCAATTTGAGAAAACCTGCTCTCATCGACTGAGTAGAAGGATACAATACCCTTCTTGATAGCTTTTCTATACTTCGTCCCAATGTTGGTTGTATTCCGGTGTGAAGAACTCAAATTCAATGAATAACCACATGAGCCACAACTGCAATTCATCAAATGAAATTAACATCTATAAATTTATAATAGTAAAAGAGTTTTTGGAGAACGAAATCAATCAAAATAAGAAACTAAAAAAAAAAAGAAAAGTATACAAATTAATGCTATAGTTTTACCTAAACAATTTGGTACTAAAACATGCATTTACATATGTAACCCCCAAAAATTAATATTTACACTAATAATACTTAGGTACCACAAACTTACTCATGAAAAGGTGTATTCACTGCAGTGATAGTGACATTCTTTTATGTGATGTTAAACATTTGAGGGATATGCATGTAAATATGAACGTCTAGCTGTTAGATATGTAAATAGATAAGAATTGTGTTGTATGGAAACAAATGCCCCAATTCAAAAATGATTGGCTGCTATGTAGGCAACATGTGCTTAAGTGGACTATAGTTAGATAAAAATTAATGATGATGAAAAGCTTCCATTTAAAGCACACAGACAAGATTTGCAACGGCAAAAAAATACGTTGGCATACAAATAGTAGTGGTTTACCCACTTCAGATTTTGAGTTTATATTAAGCTTTGTTAGGAATTATAATAAGAAATAATTTATTCCTGTAAGAAGTTATGAGGAGTAAATTATTTACTTAGATTAAGGAGATATTTATTATTTTATATTTATTTCCTTGAATTAGGAATTATTTGTTTTCATATTTTATGTTATTTCTTATACCTCTTAATAATTAATATGAATTGATTATTGGAGACATTAAGTGATATATCTTTCCATTCATACAATTTCCTTTTTATGATTTTACATATTATATGATTATTGTAAGGATTATTTATACCCCGTGAATATCAATCAAATATTTCACTTTATTCCACATTATTCTGAGTTTCAACAAGCTTAAATTCTGCGTTCCGCCTACCTAACCGCCCAAATAAATTCATGTAAAATCATAATTCAGCAGCCAGAAACTACGGCGGCTTTGAGAGCCATACGACACAAGCTCTCATCTTTCTCCCTAAAAAATTAGAAAGCTCGCATCTTTCTCCATTAATAGTAATGTTTTCAAAAATTTTGAATTGAAACCCTAAAACAACTAAATCAAACCCTGTTTTTCACACCAATGGACTAGCTGCTCACCCGACTTTGCTCAACGCAGAACCCAGAAGGGAAACTACCATTAGGGTTTTGAACCAGGTGACGGAACCAAATCAAAACATTAATTGAAGCAAAATAGGATTGAGAGGGAAATAAATGTACCAATAAATCACATCCCTATGTGACGCGAGCCCGTGCAGGCTCCCCGACGGCGTACCTATCCCATAACTTCGTTCGAGGAACATCGCCAATCGCCTTGTAGAGCAGATCGCTGAGAGAGAATGTGTGAGTGAGTGAGTGAGTGAGTGAGTGAGTGAGTGAGTGAGTGAGAGAGAGAGAGAGAGAGACCGAGGTGGGAGACTAGTAAAGAAGAAGAGGAGAAGCGGGGTGAAACCGACAGTGTGAGTTCTCTAGCACCGCGGTTTTTTTTGCACGGAGTCCTTTACCATTTGCTTCTTTCTTGCGGATTACGACAACACAAATATATATATATATATATATATATATATATCTATCTATCTATCTATCTATATTTATATACAACCACTCTTTTAATTATTTTTCAAAGTCACTCGAACATTACAATTCATAATAAAACCCCAACCTATATCTTTCAATTTTATCAAGTTCTCAATAACTTGATCATGACATTCGTAAATACATAAGTTTAGCAGTCCAAAAAAATCACCAGAATAGTTAATTTATAAATATCGATATTTGGGATGGATTATGTAATTATCCTTATTTTAAAATTCATTGTGCTTTTTTAATTATAATTATTGATGTGGGAGGTTGAAACTTTTTATGCTCATATTAACATGGAGGCTTCGTTAAGTTTTGATTATATGATCTCTTCAATATCATGAAAATTCCATTTGTTGATGGATATAAATAACGCACCTCACTTGTTAATATTTGTTACTAAACTTCATTTTAATGGGAATAGCCAAATTATGATTTGTTTTTGTATATTCATTAAGACATTGCATGAAATATTTTTTGAATTGAAATGGCGTTTAAGATGCATTGCTTTTTATTTAAAGAAACAATTGTGCAGTTGCTACAAAAGAAAATGATATTCCAAGAACTGATTGAAGTGACGTTTAATAAACATTGCTTTTTATTTAAAGAAACAGTTGTGTAGTTGCTGCAAAAGAAAATGATATTCAAAGAGCTGCGATTACTAATACTTGCCGCCCCAAGTGTAGAAAATATCACTATAAGAACTATTAAAATGTGAAATGCCCCTCTCTAAGTAAAAAAAGAAGTTTGTGTTAGATATATTTATGTATATCTTTGCTAAAATTTTTAAAACACACTTTTATCTTGAAAGGGGGCTTAATGATCTCACCCAACAAGTGGGCTAAAAATGGTTGAGTGTATGGCCCATCAAAGAGAACAATTGTTTTTATGGGCTACTTTTGAGTCATCAAACTAAAAGGCCGAATGCTTGATAGAGCTCAACCCAAATAAAGCCTTCACATATTTATTTATTTATTTCTTTATGTTAATGGACCATATTTGAAATGCATTGGGGCATAAGATGAAAAATTTAGTTGATAATAGTATGATTATGCATAATATTCATAAATAAAATTAAGGGCTATTTACATATATACCACAGAATTCCTGTTTATTCATACAAGTAGTGCCTAAACTTTGATTGTCATATTTATACCACCCAATGATTCATATCACATAAGAAATATCACAATTAGGAAATTTTAAATTTTGAATTGCAATTTTATGAGTATGGGTATAGTGGTATAAGTGTAAAATTCTTTTTCTTATAATTTATGAAACTTGAGATAAATCAACAAGTTCAAGCATACATTTGTTTAGGGTTTAATTTTAGGAAGATTTACATACATTTTATATAAAGCTCATGTATTTACAAATCTATTACCTAAACTTAGGGGCTGTTTGGGATTAATTTTTGCTTTTTTTTTATTTCTAAAAACAATAGATTGAAAAAAAAATAGTGTTTCTTCATCTATTTTTTGTTTTGTTTTTGTATTTTTTTTTTTTGGAGGAACACTTGTTTTTAAAATTCTCAAATAGAAAAAAAATATTTTCTTGCATATTTTTAAAAGACTGGAAACAGTGTCCCGGGCCGATTGCAGCCTGCCCCTAAATCCCTCTCCTGTTGTGTGTGTCGCCCATCGCCCGCTTGCCGATCGTCTCCGCCGGCTGCCCACCCCAGCCGCCCCTCCCCGCTAACTGCCGGCCTTCGCCGCCTTTCTTGCCCGCTCACCCACATGTAATGTTTCGTGTTCGGTAGAGCAAGGAAGACAACGTATACACCATGGATTGTAGAGCTTAATACTGGAGCGTACGTGAACCCAAACATTTCATAAAAAAAAAACATATATTTTTTTAAAAATAATATATAAATCATGATACTATCAATTACGTTTTCTATATTTATATAAAATAAAAATAGAAGATAGAAGATAAAAAGTATCATGGACTTATCAAATTAAAAGAGGGTGATGAAAAGCATCACACGTAGAATAATATATGGAAAAAAAAGATCAAAATTTAAATATTTACAACAAATATTTTCTCACCTAACATTAATATTTTCATGTCGCCATCACCAAACCTAAGTTTTACTATAAGTATATTGGGAAATACTATTTTTGGTGAATGACAAGTGTGTGTGTGTGCCTTGTGTTCTTATGACTATTTAATTATGTCTTTATTTAATTGACGATAATTGCGTTTCTCTGTTGAGTTCATCTTATAAATTTAGTTAGGCAACCATGATAGTGATTGAAGAAGGATAGATTGGGCATAAATATACTAAAAAATATCCCTCCATCAAAAAAATTTCTTTTTTGGGTGAAAAGTATATATATATATATATATAAAGATATGTCATCAACAAATTTTAGTTTTTTGACATGTTTCTCAAATAATTAAACCAATATTAGAATAATTTTAAATATGGAAAATTCAAATTAAAAATCATTTAGAAATTTGATGTTAGCTGACTTATAGTCAAACTGACCGGCTCGACGATGCAAACAAAATGACATTACAATTGGCTCAATCCGATTCAAATCAAGCTGAATTAAGCCGTTTGATCATTTTTGAAAGTTTTTCGGTGCAAAATTGGAAGGTCAAATTAATTTCAAATCTGACAAGTTTATAATCATGTTGAGCATCTCGACAAGACTAATCCAACAAGCCCATGATCACTCAAAATTTTTAAGCACTTAAATGTACATAAAACAGTTTCAGATTGAGAGAATCTCTTTGAGTGGTTAGATGGAGTGGTCTAGATTTTTTTTATTTGTACGAAGGCATCACTTAGACCGTAAATAGAACCCCACGCCTTCATGCAAGGACAAGAAAAGCAGAAACCAGTGCTGGATCGGGAGAAGGAGCTGAATTCCAGTGTTATCTTGCATCGAAGACCAGACAAACCCTTCCCGCTCCTGTAGTCGCCGATCACCTTCGACCACCGCTTGCATGCCATTGCCGACCACTGCTTGCTTGCCACCATCAACCACCTTAGGCCACCCCTTATTTGTTGCAATGAAGCCCTTACAGAGTCACAACGTACACTGTAGACTAATAAAACACCTTGCAGCGTAACAACCAGCTTTTTCAGAATAACAAAACATCATACGAAGCAAAACGCCTCAAAGACGGTTTAACAAATCGTTTTGAAGACAAGTGTAACAATGCCCCGAAGATGGTGCAACACATACTCCACATATAGTATAACAACACACCCGGAAGTCAGTGTAACGATGCACCCTGAAGATGGTGTGATGACGACATAACGTACTCTGAATATGGTGTAACGATGCGACTTACATATAGTGCAATGATGCATTCCAAAGATGATATAACAATTCACCTCTCAATAACTACTCACAACTGTCGCACTAATAATACAATCAATTTCTCCATACTTCTGAAGCTCTCTCATCATAGCTCACCGCTATGACCTACATGGTCCGTAGGAACTCCCGTGAAATATTAGCCATCTAAACACTAAAAGTAGGAACTCCCATGAATATAAATTTGTTCTTTGAGCCATCTATTAGCCATCTAAAAACTAAAAGTAAGAACTCCCATGAATATGCTTTTAGTAATAAAAAAAAATTAAGCTTTAGATCAATCCAAATCACATACAAAGATAATGTTTTCTGTTAGATTAAAATTCTAAATATCACCATCTTATCCAATAACAAGCACGTTAATAACTTTTTTTTTTTTTTTTGAATATCTTCGTATTATTTTTTTATTTATGCAGTAATTATATTAATACCATCCCATTCTCAAGCGTTCACGTATCTAGCACTTCAATTTGCCCTTTATATCTATAGCATTCAGGTGCTTTATATCGCGTTAAAAATATATATTTTTTAATTTTAAAAAATAAAATAAAATATATGCTTTCATACATAATTAATACAATATTAATAAATTTTCATCATCCAACATGAATTTAGGGTTTTGCACGAGATAATTTATTGAGTAGAAGTTTTTAAACTTCTCTTAAAAGTTATTTAGAATTTCAATTTCAGCAAACTTGCAGTCAAACTGACCAACTTACGAGAAGGACTCAATGATATCAACATTGGCCCAATCCGAGTCAAATTGAGCCCATTTCAAGCAATTGAATCACTTTTGGAAGATTTTCAGACATAATTGGATTGTCATCGATTTCAAATTTGACATGCATATTATGGTCACCTATGCCAAATCGAGCGTCTCAACTAGACGAATCCAACTAGCTTAAGATTGCTCTATTATGAACTCATTAAAAAACTTAAATGCTCATCAAACACCATCCAATTAAGAGAATCTCTTTGGGCCGTTCGATCAGAGTGGCTGAATTCCATCCTTATTTGCAACATTGAGTCTATAAATAGAGCCCTATATTGTCTTGAAAGGGGGAGAGCTGGAGCCAGAAATTGAAGTTTAGAAGAGGAGTTGGAGTCCAACATCTCTTTTGCACGTAGATTCGGGGAACGCCTCCCATTCCAGTAGTCGCTGCAACCAACTCTGACTAACACTGCCCTCCAACTCCATTCACCTCCACTGCCATTGGCCAAATTCGACTACCGTTGTCGTTGCCCACAAATGCTGTCGCCTTCTCTAGCCAGCTCTGGCTATCGCCTCCAGCTAACTCTGACCACCACCTACCAACCACTGTAGACCATTATCGACCGTCACCAGCTCCTTGCAGCGAAGTCACTTATGAAGTCACAATGTGCACAATGGAATCCTAACGTACATTGCCGAACTGTGAAGCACCTTGCAGATGATGTAACTACACACCCCAAATATAATGTAATGAACTTTCTGAAGATGGTATAACATCGCGCCCCACATACGATGCCATTATGACTCTCGAAGACGATGTAATAATGCAACTCGAATAGAGTGAATTTTTTCGTGCTCTTAAAGCTCCGTTCTCACAGCCCACCACTA